CTTAATATTGCTAGTTTTTTAATGCAATGAAGAATTAAAAGTTGCGCATAATACATTATGTGACTCATATAGCGCGATAATGCCCTTAACAAACATCTTGTTATCGATACATTATTTATGCAACAAAATCTCTATTTGTGACAATTTTTTTTTTCTTGAAGTCGATATTTTTTTGCAGTGTTCGGTTCGTCTCATTTGACATCCTCTATAAGGAGTCTGTACGATAACTAGTAATAGATTAAGATATTATAGGGATGACCATTGGGACGAGCGATCCCATGGTCCAAAGGGTCCACTAGGATTTGGCGTGAGCCCTATAGAGAGCAGACCTAGGGCCAAATCGAACTAGCTACAACACTGGGTGCGATGCATTTAGGGTCCAAGGCACTATAGGATAGCTTTTTTCAAAAAATAATAATAATCAGGGTACTTTTATTTTAACCAAAAAAAGGTTGATGGAAGAATTTAACTGTTTATATAAAATTTATTGAGATAATATCATACACTTCACTATCTAACTAATAATATGTGAGACATTTTTTAGCGTTTACAAAATCACACTACCCCTCTATCAAATATAATTTGGGTAATTATATTTACACCACATTTTTTGTTTCTTAGACCATATTTTAATTATACTTAAAGTTCTTAATCTTTGTTCATTATAACACTTATATTCCTAATTATTTTTTATGTCATTTTTTTCCTCATACTTTTTATTAGTTAACACATTTTGTATTTGATAACAGTTTTATGTTCAAAGGTCCGTTAAAATGACATAAAATAATTTACTTTTTCATCATATTTTTAAAAAATAAATAATAAATGTGTGAAACATATATTTCTATCATTTCAAAGCATGAAAATAAATATTTTGATATAAATCATCATCAAGGACAAGACATATTAATTATTGGAAGATTGAAAATAAATATTTTGATGAAAAAAGTAAAGAAAATAATCGTTAAAACGAGTAGAAATTAAGGAATTTTTCTGTAATTAAAATGTATTATATCAAACAAAAATTGTGGTGGCTATACAATCTCCCATATAATTTTAACCAATTACTATTACAAATGTTTATTACCTGTTTTACCCTTGAACATAAACAGTTTTCATCATTTCTCTATCACTATTTCGTAATGTAGGTGGGATGTGTCTCTCATATTATATTAGAACTATGTATTTAATTATTTTAATAAAAAAATTAGAAAAGTGATCGAGCCCGCAGGCTCTTTTACAACTCTAATTGCTATTAGATATAACAAATATTGACAAGCTTGAAGTCCCCAGATGTCATCCTCGATAAAAAAAAAAACCAATTAAGCAAATCCTTATTTAATACTTTGTTCAGTTTATCTTTCTATGCACAAGTTCTAAAAACGACATTAAGAGCACGTTTGAGAAGCAACTCTAATTCATTTAAATTAAAATAGATAGAATTGAGTGGTGGATCGCACTTATGGACTCCACGAAATGTGTGATAAAATGTCTATAAATTAAACAAGTTCCAA